TCCTTTTTATGTATTTAGTACAGGGTCTACAGAGTCTCACTACACAGATTGGACTCGTAGTGATCCTCCTGTTTTCAGCCTCCCAAGTTCTGGGATTACAGGCACATGCTACTATGCCCAGTCTCAGCCGCTGCCTCAGTGCACCCCAGGAGCAGGGCTGGCACAGCAGGCCAGGGATTGAATCTCCAGCTCCTGTGTCTGCCTAAGCAGGTGCTTTAATCCTCTGAGCTATCTGGCTGGCCCAGAGCTATGATTCTTAAAGGAGTGGCACACCATTCCTTGGGAACCACAGAAACTGGATGTCTTCCACTCTAGGGGAGGGCATGCTTCCTTACCCAGACACATGCTGTTCCCACAATCATCTCCTGCAGGGTCCTTGCAGAATTCCTTCTCATCATGTTTACCGGGACCCAAGGCTTCCTATGACATGCACAAGAGAAGGCTCTCAAACATCACTCATCTTTGAAAAAGCCTGGGAACCCTACAGGGTCCAGAAAAAGCAGGGGAATGTAGGGGTACCACCAGAGGGTTAGCACCATAAGCAGCAGCATGGCCAAGGAGGAACACAGCAGACTGGAGGTGGGGCAAAGGTTGTAACACTATGCCTTTGCCCTTCTGCTAGGGGGACAGTATGGAGTGAGGAAGAACTCTGGAGGGCAACAGAAGAGTAGTAATAAAGAGTATGAAAGAAAAAAGAAATAGCAGCTTACCTGGGACTCAGCTGTCGCCTCCCAATCTCCAACACTACCCATCTTTGGAAGAGTAGGGACGCGAGGAGTGAGGACAGCTGAGGAAAAGAAAAACTCTGAAACACAAGATATGGTTCTCAAAATCCACCTCCCTCTATGGTCCACCTTCCCAAAAGTCATAGCTGAAACAGACTGGGACAGACCTCTTTTAGTATATGTGATGCTGAAGCAAGCACTGGGGCAGATCTCCTTATTTCCCTTCTAGAGAACACTGAAAGGCTACACAAGTGTCTCAACAAGACTGCCACTGTTCAAAGCACATTTGATTCATAAAGAGATGAATTAGATAAAAGTCTTATGATATTAAACAATAACTCAAAACATAAAATACAGGTTGTTTATCTTTTAAGTAGTTATAATGTAAGGAAAAAAAGTGAATGACCAGACTCAAAACAACTTTACTCTTAGTGAACATAGCTCCTACACATGGCTTGTGTGACACATATGAGATTCCCGTCCTGAGCCTCTGTGATTATTGCTCACTTTAGTCCCAGCCTCCATCTGCCGCATCTGTTGTTCCAGCTGGCATCGCTGGCACCTTCCTCCTCTTACAGTGAACTTTTACCCTACTTCTCAGTAGGTGTGGCCATCAGACACTGTCCTGTCCTTTGCCTTGAACTCGCCACATCCTTCTCTCCATATACCCTTCCTTACTTCTCAATCCCTCCTTTGGAGGATAAGCTCCACTCCCTAGTTTTCCCAGATTCTTGGTACTCACCGCTCTCTTTTAAGAGGTGTGATGCCATCTTGGCATTTAGATGCTCAGGGAGGTCGGAGCATGAATTCTTCACCCCTTGCTTGTGAGACCGTCCTTCAGGCCTGGGACCTGCTGGCTGCAACTGGAAGCACTGAGATTCTCGTGCTGCCTTTAACGATCTGCTCTTGTCTGTACCCCACTCTAGTTCCTGCACACAGATGGTCAAAATTCCCCATCATAAGTTCAATAAGGCCCACTTCAGCAGGGCAAGGAACATTACTTTGAGTAAGATTGTGGCTTATGAAGCTTACTTCACCCAACAACAGCAAAATATTCATTTTTCTCAAGTTCACACAAAGCATTATTTGCCATACAACATCCTGGGCCACAAAACACATCTTAACAAACTTAAAAGAAAAGAATCATACAATATGTGCTCTCAGACCATAGTGGAATTTAACTAGAAATCAGTAACAGAAAACGTAGTGGAAAATCCCCAAATACTTAAGAGACTAAATACCACATATCTAAACAATGCATGGGTCAAAGAAGAAACTTCAAGAAAAAATTTTAAATATTTTGAACTAAATGAAAATCAAAATACACTTTACACACAGTTTCATCAAGCTTCAAGTGTGATGAAGTCATGAGACTGACTTCAATAAACCAACTAGCAATTGTGACTGATACCCCTTGTCTTACTCAATCCTGGGAGGCCATAAAGTGTTTTTAAAAGGATGCCACTGATCAAAACATTTTCAATTCATAAAGATACAAATTACATAAAATTTCTGTGACCAAAACAGAAAAACAATTCATGAACATGAAAAACAGGTTGATTTGCTTTTAAATACTTATCATCTACAGAGGACATAAGTGACTAGGCTCAACAACAATCTTTAGTTTCAGCCTCAGCTGCTCCAACTATTCCATTCCTAAACAAAGATTCTGTTATATGAATGGGAACTGTAAACACAGAAAAAAAGTACTTTCAAGTTATAATGAGCAGGTAAAAATCAGTAGAAAAGACTTCTTTTTTCAGTTCAACAAGTATCTTAGAAGTACCACTCCAGATCATCTTTACCTGGACAAACTGAAAAGTCAACAACACTTGAATTCATCAAGTAAAATCACAAAGTACACTGCTGCCCTCAAAACAGGAGAAATTAAGACAGGTAGACTCAGAGGACTACAATCTACCAGAGCACAAAACTGGGAACTAGGGCCAGAGTCAGAAAAACTAAACCATAACTGATGAACTGCAAAAGGCTCAATGTGGACAATCCTGAGCACTAAAAGGTTCAGGAGATCCAGTCAGTCATTGGGAAAGGGAAAGACACAGAGAAAAAAAGTAAAGGGACAAAATATACAAAGTTAACACTAATCAAAAGAAAGCAAGGGAAGGTCCTGCTTAGACAGACGCAGGGGCCAGGAGTTTGATCACCTGGCTTGCTGTGCCAGCGCCGCCCCCGGGGCATGCTGAGATGGCAATTGAGACTGGGCTTGGTGGCATGTGCTTGTAATCTCAGCACTTGGGAGGCTGTAAATAGGAGGCTCACTATAAGTCTGATCTATGCCATGAGACCCTGTACACCCTACCCTGTATACTGTCCTAAATACAAAAAGAAAAGGAAAAGAAAAGAAAGAAAGAAAGAAAGAAAGAAAGAAAGAAAGAAAAAAGAAAGAAAGAAAGAAAGAAAGAAAGAAAGAAAGAAAGAAAGAAAAACTATGTAAGTTTCAGACATAGCAGACTTCACAGCAAGAAAAGTTATCAAGGATTAAAAGTGGTATTACTGGCACACAGGGAGAAGTCATATAAAAACATGTACCAAGAAGGTTATCTGCCAGGACAAGGAGAGAGGCCAGCTGACAAATCAGCTGACACACTCATCTGGGACTTCCAGCCTCTAGAAAGTTGTAAAAATAATTTTTTTAAGTAAGTTAATGAGTCAGTTAATTAATTAATTAATTAAAAGTGTATTATACAATGATGAAGGGGTCAATACTCCAAGACATAATAATCCTTAATACACATAAGGGTTATACTTGCAATTAATTTTTAATGCTAACAACAGCAACACAATTGTAAAGAGAAAAAAATTAATTCACTATTATAATTGGAAACTTTAAAATCCCTTTGTGAGAAATGGAAATTTTAGCAGACAGAAATTCAGTAAAGACACAGTTGAACCAAACATACTATGATGCTGGGTGTGGTGGTACATGGCTGTAATCCTAGCTCTTGGGAGGCTGAGAGAGGATCACCACAGCTCCAGGTCAGCCTGGGCTACATAGTGAGCTAAAGACCCACCTGAATTACAAAGTCTCAATAAATAAACAAACAACTAGGGAAATCAATCAGGTAAAATAGAAGAGATATAATACATATATGAAGTACTTCAACAACAGCAGAATACTCATTTTTCCCAAGCTCACACAAAACATTATTTAGTGTACAACATCTGGGCCATAAAACACATCTTAACAAACTTAAAAGAACACACTCATACAATATGTGCTCTCAGACCAAAGTGGAATTTACCTAGAAATCAGTAACAGAAAACACATAGCTAGAAAATCCCCAAACACTTAAGAGACTAAATACCATATATCTAAACAATGAGTCAAAGAAGAAACTTCAAGAAAAAATTTTAAATATTTTGAACTAAATGAAAATCAAAATACAATTTATGAAAAATGTGGGATGGAGCAAAAGCTGTGCTAGTGTCTAATCAGACTAAGAAAGGGGCTAAGTATATAGCTCAGTGGCATAAGAGCCTGACTGGCAAGTGCAAGGTCCCAAGTTTGATCCCTGGTACCACAAAAGAGAAAAAAAAAAAAAAAAAAAAAAAAAAAAACACTGACATTCTAATCAGACTAAGAAAAACACAAAGCACTAATATCAGAAATGAGAGTACATCACCACAGGTCCAAAGGACATTAACATGACATTAAGGGGATATTATAAATAACACCCACACATTTGATAATTTGGATGAAAAGGACCAATTCCCTGAAAGGCATATTCTATCAAAACTTGCACAAGAAGAAACAGATAATCAGAACAGGCCTATATTTACTTTAAAGATTAAATCAATAATTAGTAACCTTCCAAAACAGAAAGTACGAGGCTCACAGGTCCACTGGTAAGTTCTGGCAAAAGAAAAAATTATACCAATTCTCTGTGGTCTCTTCTAGAAGAAAAAAAGGGAAAGAGTATTTCCTTACTCACTTATAGGCCCAGCACTACTCTAATGCCAAAATCAGATAAGGACATTAGAAGACTACTAGACCAACACAGATGTAAAACTCAACAAAATACTAGCAAATCAGGGATGGGGAGACAGCTCAGCGGTCTCAGGGCCTGACTAACAAGCACCAAAGACCCGGATTCAATCCCCATACCGCATGCCTTGCTGGCCCCATAACACTGGGCATACCATGCCAACCCCAAAACTGAGCATGGTGGTACATGCTTATAATCCCAGCACTGGGGAGGCTGAGACAGAAGGATCACTATAAATCTAAGCTGCATAGCAAAATCCTGTACCAAATAAATAAAAGATGTTTTAAATTTTTTTAAAAATTAGCAAATCAGGGCTGGAGAGATGGCTCAGTGCTCTAAAGCACCTACTTAGAACAAGCTTGGCAAAGCACAGGGACCGCAGTTCGATCCCCTAGCACCACATGCCAGCCAGCCCTGCCCCCAGGTGGGCTGCCACACACACACATACACACACACACACACACACACACACAATAAATAAATGTAAAAAAAAATGGCAAATCAAATCCAATAACGTATGAAAAAGATTATACATCACAACCAAGTAGAACTTATCCCAAGTATGCAAGACTGGTCCAACATTTGAAAATGAATTAATGTAATCAATCCATCATTTCAGTAGGCTAAAGAAGAAAAACCATATGATTACATCAATAAATGCTGAAAAATCATCTTCTAAAAATCCAGTTACTGGTGATAAAAGCCATCAGCAAACTAGAACTACAGAGAAGCCTCCTCAACATGACCAACAACATCTAAACAAATTCGTACAGGTGCTTGGGCGGTTTCGGTTTTTGCTGCAACTGTCCACAGAGGCTGGCTTCATGGGGTACCTACAGAAGGGTTCTGGGTCCCGGCTGCGAGATGAGGAGCCTGGGCCCATGAGAGGAGAAGTGATAAGTTACTCAAGTCACACAGCTAATTAAGTAGCAGAGCTGGAATTACAACTCAGGTTTCCTGCCTCTCAAGACTGTTGCAAAGAGTGTGCGGAAGCAAACCCCTAGTGACTTCTTAAAGCAAATCATTGGAAGGCCGGATGTGGTCAAATTAAACTCGGGAGTGGATTACTGAGGGGTCCTGGCTCACCTAAATGGCTATACAAATACAGCCATGGAGCATGTTAATAGACAGCTGAAGAATAAGTATGGGGACGCATCTATCCAAGAAACAATGTATTGTACGGAAGTACACAGAAGTGAAGGATGGGAAGACACCAAGGAAGCAATTCTTTTCATAGTTGGAATATATTTTTTATGAAATGTTTTCTACTTTTTGGTTCTTTTGTGATGCAAGTTGTCCTACCTTCATAATAGCTGGTGATTTTTTTCACTGACCCATGAGTAAGGTGATTGCTTAGAAGTATAGATTGAATTACAAAGAGCATTTCAAATTTTAAAAAAATAAATAAAATAAACCCAAATCTAACATCCTACTTAATGGTGAGAAACTCAAACTTGTGCACTAAAGTCAGAAACAAAGGGTCCCTTTTCACTACTGTTCATTGTCTTACTGAAAGTCATAACTAATGTCTTGGAAAGGCCAGGTATAGTGGCACATGTCTGTAATCCCAGCACTTTGGAGGCTGAGGAAGGAGGATCATTGTGAGTTCAAGACCAGCCTGGGCTACAAAGTCAGCTCAAGCCCAACCTGAACTGCACAGCAAGACCCTGTCTCAAAAGACAATAGTAATAATAATAACTAATATAATACAACAAGAGAAGACAATAAAATGTATGCATACTAAAAGGAAAAAATAAAACTGACTTTGCATATGACACGTTCATCTATGTAGAAAATCCAAAAGAACTGGGGTGATGGAAATAGAAACACTCCTAGAACCAATATATGATACAGGTTTCAGGATGCAAAAGTTAATACTCAAAAGTCAATCATTGTCCTATATATACACCAGCATTAAACAAGTAAATTTGCTATTAAAGCAAATAGCACTTGTATTTTTATCTACAAAGGAAAAACTTATGTATAATTGTGGCAAAGTAATTACCAATTTACCAAAGTAAAACTAAACTCTGATGAAAGATATTAAGAATTAAAAAAGCAGATAGAGGCTAATTCACTACTGTCAAGATGTCAGTTTCTTCCCAATTTGATCCATAGATTTAATGCAGTCCCAATTAAAACTGTCACTAGTTATTTTGTGGATATAGAGGGCCAAAAGACCCAGAACAGCAAATATAATATTAAAAAAGAAGAGCAAAGTTCAAGAACTGACACTACCTGACTACCAGACTTATTATAAAGCCATCGTAATCAAGAAATTATGGTATTGGCAAAAGAATAAAAAGATCGGGGGCCTGGCCCTAGCTCAGGCCTTTAAGTGGCTGCTTCCACAAAGCTGTCAGCCTCAGGTTGCTGGAGTTCGAACCTCACACCTCTCCCGCTGGCCAAAAGTGCCCTGAAGGCATTCGAGGAACAAAAAAAACAAAAAAAAACAAAAAAAAATCCTTATAAGAATAAAAAGATCAGGGCTGGTGAGATGGCTCAGTGGTCTAAAGCACCTACTTAGTACAAGCTAAGCTAAGCAAAAACACAGGGACCGCGGTTCAATCCCCCAGCACCACATGCCAGCCAGCCCCGCTCCCCTGGTGGGCTGAGCTGGCCACACACACACACACCCACACACGCAATAAATAAATGAAAAAAAAAAAAAAGAATAAAAAGATCAATGGAAAAGAATCAGAGGACTCAAAACAGACATAAGTACATTCAACTGAACTTTGGCAATAGATAAAAAGCAACCAAGGTAGCAATGCTAATATTTTGAACAACTAATGCCAGAACTGGACCTCCACATGCAAAAAGAAAAAAAAAAAAAAAATCAACCTAAGTAGACTCTACACCTTTCCAACAAATTAATTAAGACCTAAATTTAAATGCAAACCTCCTAAAAGATAAAATGCGAAAGAAACCTAGATGACCTTCATGGGGATGACCTGTTAAATATAACACCAATGGCAATATCAATGCAAGAAACAATTGGTATTATTGACTGAGAGAAAAACTTCGCAAAAGTCACACCTGATAAGGAACTGTTACATAAAATATACAAAGAACTCCTAAAACTCAACAATAAGAAAACTACTCAATTAAAATATAGGTAAAGACCTAAATAGACATCTCACAAAAGGAGATATAAAGGTAAATAATATGAAAAAGATGTTTAATACCTTATCATCATTGCAATGGCCAAAATACAAACACTCACAACACCAAATGCTAGTAAGGATGTGGAGCAACAGAAACTCTCACTCACTGTAGGCAGAAATGCAAAACAGTATAACCCCCTTAGAACACAATTTGGCTGCTTCTTACAAAATTAAAACGTTCACTTACAATAAGATCCAGTGATCACATTCCTTGGTATTTACCCAAATGAAATGAAATCTTTGCCTACACAAAAATCTGCAGATAGCATTTAGAAGCAGCTTTATAAATAACTGCCAAAACTTAGACACGACTAAGACATCCTTCAGTAGGTGAGTGGATAAACAAACTGTACTACATCCAGACAATGGCCTATTATTCGGCATTAAGAGGAAATGAGCTATGAAGCAATAAAAAGACATGGAGAAAAGTTAAATGTATATGAGTAAGTGAAAGGAGCCAATCTACAAAGACCATGTTCTGTATAATTCCAACTATAGCACATTCTAAAAAAGGGAAAACTATCAATACAGTAAAAATATTTGTGGTTGCCAAGGGTTGGAGGGGAAGATGAATAAATAGCAGAGCACAGAGGATTTTTAGGGCAGTGAAAGTGTTCTCTATGAAACTACAATCATGGGTATATGCCATTGTATGTATATTTCTCAGAACCCAGATGACGTACATCAAGAGTGAACCTTCGTCTACATTATGGAATTTTGGGCAATACTGATGTGCTGATACTGGCTCATCAAGGGCGGCAGGTGTACCACTCTGGTGGGAGCTGCTGACAGATGGAGAGATGAAGGGCGGGCCTATTCTTCCAAGAACCTAAAACTGCCCTAAAAAATAGTCTATTGGGCTGGTGAGATGGCTCAGTGGTCTAAAGCACCTACTTAGAACAAGCT